CATGTTCCATGACTGGGACGCGTCCGGGTGATCCATTGGCAGATCTCTTGTGGTCAATCGCATTCGGTAGTGTCATAAGGCAGTTAAAGTCTGATTTCCACGAGCTAGACATCGTAGTTCAGCTGGATAGTCGAAGATTCACGTGTCTCCCAGTATGGGCTGATGATCTATGTGTACTAGTGTCACACCCAGATCCGTTCAGATTGATCGACTTGGCAAGTATTGCATGTGACCGCCTGTCAAAGGCATTTGCAAGCTTGGGCGTTGAATTAAATCTGGGTAAAGGAAAGACCGAAGTGATTTTCAGCTTCCATGGGTTGAACGCCACCAAGGCAAAGCGTCAAGTTGCGATTGATATGGGCAATCAAATATCATTCCGAGACTTTGAAGGCAAAACTCGGTCTGTCCATGTTGCCACGACCTACAAGCATCTAGGAGGTATGGTCGGGAGAGCTCACCAAAATCAAAAAACAGAAGTTCGTTCTAGGGCGGGGATTGCAGGAAGTGCCTTTCGTGCCCTACGTAAACATGTGTTTGCCAACCGAGCCATTCCCAGGGAAGTCAAGCTGCACATTTATGATGCAATCGTTAGATCTAAATTCTACCATCACGCATCATGCTGGTCATTTTTGACGCAGCAAGAATGGCAAGTCTTTGACACCGCTGCATTCAGACTATTGAGGTCACTTGCAGTTGCTTTGTATGGTTATGAATGGAAGGAAGCATCCAATGAAAAGATTGTGGCCAAACTAGGAGTTCTGCACCCGAGGCAACTGTTGAGAATTGAAAGGTTGCGGCAATTTCAGAAGATTTGTCAGTTTGCCGACGCAGATTTCTGGGCAATCTTGGAGGGAGAGTCAAATTGGCTCCACAATATGCTATACTCCGACTTGACCTGGTTGAAAGAGAATCGTTTGTGTCCAGATTGGTTGTGCATTCCTGAGGTCTCACAGATTCAGAATCTTGTCACAACCTTGGCAGATAAAGGGACCGAGTGGAAGACGCATCTCAAACAAGTTGGAAAAGCATGCCGTAATTATGCTCACAGACTCCAGGAAGCGCATGAGTTTGAAAGCAAGGCACTCAAGATGTTGAGACAAATTGGCGTTGCCTCTTTTGAACAAACACATGGCAATGTGCAGAGAGTAGTCAAAGGCTCCTTTCGCTGTCAATACTGTGATAAGATTTTTGGCACGCTCAAAGCTCTTGGAGTGCACAAGCATAGGCAGCACGAAGTCTTTTCTGCACAATACTATTATGCGAAAGGAGACACATGCCCGGTCTGCCTAAAGTATTACGGCAATAGTGAAGCGCTTCAGCAGCACTGGCAATATAAGAGGGGCACATGCTGGAGCATTATCCAGGAAAGTGATCTCGACCCGGAAGATTTTGGAGGTGATAGAATTGCCAGAGAGCTCGAGATTCCGCCGCTAGCTGGAGTGCAATGTGCAGGACCCAAAGCATGGTGGTCTACACTTCGACCTCTGATGCAAGATGAATCGTCGGGTGTCGAAAATGTAGAAGCCTTCGAGGAGGCTGCAATCCATTACCTCCTCAGCCTAGCTCCTGTTGAAGAGGAACTGCACTCATTCTTAGATGGCGTTAAAAGTGCAGCATCCTTTTTGCTTCGCACCTTCGGCCAAGAGTATTTAAAGCAGGAGGGTGCAATTCGCATGGCAAACAAGACCATCGCAATATGCTCTCCGGAACATAGAAGACTAATAGAAGATACTTTGGCCGTGTCTGGGACGTCCTGAAAGGACTATGGCAACAAATTGCAGTTCCAACCGAGTCCCTGGACTGGAATGGACCCATTTGCGGCAATATAGCGTTTGTTGTTGACTGCAACTTTCGTGCATTGTCCTTGGATTGTGTTCCCAAGCAAAGAGCCAAGTATGTGCTTCATTTGTTCAGTGGCCGCCGACGTGAAGCAGATATCCAATACTGGATTGAGGAACTTGCAAGACAGACAAGTCACTCAGTGATTTGCCTTTCGTTCGACCTTGCAATAGACGAACGATGTGACCTACTAGATGCGCATGCACAGTCATGGCTGAGACAGATGATCAAGGCAGGTCGCATACTAGCGCTCATTGCAGGTCCGCCATGTGAAACTTGGTCACGAGCGAGAGGAGTCTGCCTCAAAGATGAGAGCAGTGCCAGTCAGCCAAGGGTCCTCAGATCCAGTCAGGAACCTTGGGGGATGATTGGCTTGAGCCAGTGAGAACACACCCAGTGCATTGTTGGCTCACGGCTCTTGCATTGCAGTTCACGATCATCCTCGTGCTCGACTGCATTAGAGCCGCAACAGGTTGCTTGCTCGAGCACCCGGATGAACCAAAAGACGATGCAAGTCTGGCGTCGATTTGGCGCCTGAAGGTCCTACGTGCAATGCTGGCGCTGCTACCTATGAGAAAGCTTCGAGTCTGGCAGGGACAGTTCGGGGCAAAGTCTCCAAAGCCCACAGCATTGATGGTTCATGGCCTTCGAACACTTGAAGAACGTCTTGAACAACAAAGATCGTCTGAGATGCCTGCAACTCGGTCGATCGGTCGCACGGCGGAGGGCACTTTCGCGACTAGTGAGCTGAAGGAGTATCCTCCAAGGCTGTGCCTAAGCATTGCACATGCAGTTGTAGATGGCTTCAAAGAAGCAAGTGCAGGCAGTTTGGACCCCGAGGAGATTGAGCTTGGTGACGACGCCTTTCTTCAGGCGGCTCAATCTCCGTGGGATCCCTACCTCCCTACCGTTATGCATTCAGATTTTGGAAGCAGAAGGTAGGACACTCCGACCGCTTGGGTCGTCGAGAGAGGTCTCACCCCCACCCCAAAGAGGCAACAAGACAGTGAGTCTGCGTGCCAAAAAAAATTGTTTATCATTCAGCAGGAGCAAAGCATAAATAAATGATCAAAAAAACAATAAAAAAGTAAAAAATCGATATGCCTGGCTGTATCCAGTATGCCGGGCCGCAGGACCAAAACATAAATAGTTGATATAAAAACGATAAAAAAAACAATAAAAAAACGATATACACAAATGATAAAAAATGATAACCAAATGATAATAAACCTTTAGAGCAAAATCCAGAGTAAGGCTCCAGGCCGATCTCTTAACTCTAAAGCGCCCAAAGACCGGAAGCGAACTGTGAGAACCCCAATGAACCCCATGAACCACAAAAACCCCGTGAACCCCTGCCAAGAACCGAAGGCGAGAAAACGAGAACGCAAAAAACCACAAGAACTACGAGAACCATGCGAACCACGACAGCCCCGCAAACCGCGAGAACCGGGCCAGAAGAACGGACCTTGACGCCGTAGACCACCTTGAACAAGCGCTGACAAAGCACGGAACAGTGTGCCTCTACCCCTCACCTACCCGGTACCCCTTTGAGGGGGGTTCAACGACGATTCGTGCTTTCCTAACCCAGACACTCCATGGGACTGCCACATATGCCGCCCCATTGACCCGGCACCACCCCAAAAAAATGGCAGTCCCAGACAGGTCGTGTCTGGGAATGGGAAACAGGTTTCAAAAAACATTCCAAACCATCGCCTCAGAAGTTCGACGCACACGGGGGGAAACCCCTGCCAGGGCTTGGACCACTTCCATGGAGGTTGCCGTTGAACCACTGGTGCCCTCACCTGTGTACAGAAAATGCAGGCCAAACCGCTCCAGTCTGTCTTTTGTCACTGCTTGGCATCGTGTTTTTTTGATGTCGGCAGACTCGGCTTGCTTCTGATGTTGATCACCTTGAGGCTCAAGCCTTGAGGGCCCTTTTTCGCACAGGACGAGGGAGAATTGCAGACAGAAAGACCTGTGTTTTTAAGCCCTTGGCTGGTGGAGCTTGCTTGTTTCTTCGCTGACGTTTCACCGCAAATGTTTGTTTAGATGTTTGTTCCGTGGCCTTGAAGTGTTGCAGGAGAGTTGGTCAACCAGCTGGGTACATTGAATAGACGACTGGCATCGCCAGGGGGCAGTTGCCACGGCACCCGCCTTCGACCATTGAGTCTAGCCGACTGCCAGCGGCGGAAGCCCCTTTGAGCCTCTGAGAAGTGATTGGGCGGCATGTCTAAGGATGTTCTTAGGGTCGTTTTCTTTGAAGACCGACGTCGCCTCATGAGGCGCACGTACCTAGAAACAATAGCCTCCAACCTAATAGTGGTGGCCTCCAATCTAGAGTGCAGATATAACTGATATACTCAATTAGCAGACAATGAAGAGGCAAAGAAGATTTTGAATGCAGCCCGGAGGTCGCCATGACCCCAACGCTGCTGCTTTTCATGCTTGGTTCCAGCAGGAGTGAGCTTTAGTGGCGAAGTGGTGGAGGTCGTTGCGGAATTTTGGCAAGAAACCTGATGATGTCAAGAGATAGGGTTCTTGTATGTTCCTGTGGCCGTTTTCGAATTTTTCAATGGGTTTTCTGCGGTATTTGGTTCTCAGAATTATTTCCAATTTGGACCAATTTGGTTCAATCTCAGAACCTCATTGGCTTTGGGGGGTCCTATACAATAACCTCGCCAACTCAGGTTTCTCATCCCGCCCTAATATATCCCAGACACTCCATGTATGCCATATATTCCTACATTGACCCCCCAAACCACCCCAATGTAGGCATATATGGCATACATGGAGTGTCTGGGATATATAGTCTAAATTTATGAGTACCAAATGATGATACGATCACTCGCGACCACTCCTTTGTAAGAACCGAGAGAAAGGGCCACGGCTTGGGAAGTGTTCAAGACTACCAATGATCAAACATGCAGGCGTTGGTAATGGCGTTGGTCTGCTTTAGATTGGGAAACTAGAAAGAAACACATCCCACATCCTCAGAAGGTAGTTAGACCACCCAAACCCACCCCAACCACCTTCTGACGATGTGGTTGGAGCCCTAGGGAATAGAATGGTAGCAGTTTTCGGGCAAAAGTGTGAGTTTTGTGCCCCAAGACTGTCACATGTGTGCGACTACAGCCAGCAGTTTGCCGCCATCTTGGGCCCTCAGCACTTACACTTTCCATATATATACTTGTGATTCAACGTGAACATGTTTGTGGTGCCACTTCTTGCGCTGATCATGCCGGCCTGGAGCTGTGGATCTCTTTGCAACCTCTCAGAGGGTGACGTGAAAGGTTTCGTTCAGATTCATGCCGAACGGCTTCTGGATGACCCATACTCGCAACAGTACGATCGGTTGCATCGACGCCACCGTTGCTTGGACATCACCCGAGTGGTTTCCTGAGTGGTCTTCCGCGAAGTGGTCGACGGGTTTGGCGGGTTCAATCATCGATTCCAAACGTTGGTGGTTGTTTTACCATGTATTTCCTTAGATTTGTTTTGATATGTGCTTATTTTATCTTATTTTCTACTCAACTCTCTTCTGCGTGTTCCTGTTTCTTCTTTGCGCGAGACCCTGAACCGCAGACGCTGTTGCGTGAGGGAATGAGGGTGGAAGTAGCACATCACGAAAGGTAGCCCTTTAGGGGATATACCTTGAGTTTGTCTTGCGAAGCAAGTGTCGGCGAGTCCGGGTCGAATAATTGATTGCTCAATTCAACCCCCCCCCCCCCCCCCCCCTCCCCATTTCTTTCCCCCTCCCCCCCCCCCCCCCCCGGGGAATTGATTTTTCAATACCGACCCCCCCCCCTTCTAAATTCAATTCTCTCCTGGAGAACGTCTTCCTGAGCCTCTCATGATTTCAGGATAGTTGAAACCCTCTTGAACAATCAGAAAGAGTGCATATGAAATTCTAATCACGAAAGGTGTTCCCCGAGGGCATACATACTATAGAGTTTGTTTTGTGAAGCACGTCAATTCTCTCCTGGGGACCGTCTTCGTGAGCCTCTTATGGTTTCAGGATAGTTTAAATCCTGTGATGCTCCGATGTAATGCTCACCGATGATCTGAGCCATGGGGCAAGTGTGTTTTCCTAAGAATCTTTGTGAACATTTCGAGAGCATATGTTTGAACATTTAGAGTGCATATGAAATCACATTTACGGAAGGTCGCCTCCGAGGGGATAAATCACCATGTCGAACATTGCATTTTTGTTCCTGCCTCTCGCGTTCTCTTCTCTTCCCGCTGTCCTACCTTTCGTGTCTCCCTCCTCTCAAGTCAGAAAGTAGAGGTGGTACGGCTTGTGCGCACATCCAGTCGCGTACAGATGCCGTAGGTGTCCATTCGCTTGCTGGAGCTAAGATTCTCCAATAACCAGACTGGATTTTGCATGCCTGGAATCCAGGTCGACAGCACCGTCGGCAAGATCGGAGGTTCCGACGACGGACAACGACCACCACGACCACTTTGTTACCGGATGTGATCAATCTTTTGAAGGCATTGGAAACCTCACGAGGCTATGACTGAGTTGGGTTGCTTGTTGCTTGGGGCCGAAAAAGAGGGTATTTTGAAGGACAAGATGTCATGGCAGTTGGATCATTTGGGAAGTCATCCTGGAATACGCTGCCATTGCGAACAGGGACCGAACCCCCAAATGATATGATTTCAAGATCAGACTTTCTCCACATCAATAGACTCAATGCGCATGAGTTGAAATCCTGAAGCAAGGCACTTGGCAGCGGGATAGATTTTTAATACCTACATTCCCACGCATTACATACTTTTGACCTTCACAAAGCCTCAACTGGCTGGTATGGCCGGCCTTCAGAAGACTGACCTCGACTCAACAAAGGTCGAAGTGGATATTTTGTAGCGATTCACTGCAAGATGATCAAGATGCCATTTTGTTTGGACTGTTTTCATGTGCCATCTTACAGTGAATTGCTATACTAGCTATTATATGGTCTTTTGAGTAGCCTGTCGAGGTGTTAAGGTCAGATTTCACTGCGGGTCAAAAAAACTTGATAGAAGCCACAAACCCAAATGCAAGGCACTTGGACCCCAGAAAAATCTAGCTCGTGCTTTATGCATATAGCGAGAAATGTGAGGAAGGTAGGGCACTCAGTTGTGGCACTCTTGTAGGATACGCTGAATGAATGACAGGGGTTGAGGTGCTGACATGTGCTTCAAGTTGCATGTGTGGCAGGCGGAGGGAAGTTACAAGGTATTCTGATGATGATAACAGGTGGCGCTGTGAAGGTGCAAAAGGTGTTAGAAGCTGCGCGGTGGGCACTGCGGTGGTTTACTATTTGTGATGTGACCATTAATATTGTAAATGTTTTTTGAAGGGGTATGTGCATGGGGTGTTTGCTCTACACTGGTGCAATGACAAACACCATTTGCCCGTCAGAAGCACTTGAAGCGACCTTCTCGGCCCTGGCTGATGGCCTTACGGGCAGCGACGCGAGATTGGTCAGGGACTTCTCCAACACATGGTTCAGCATGTCAGGCAGCACGTTGCTGGCAACAGATTTTGTCATCAACTACGCGGCCAATGACACTTACTACAACAACAATCTGGGTTTCTCGCTGTCAAGTCTCAAAGCTGGCTTTATTGGCAACATGAATTCATAGTTGCATAGTCCAATGTGCATAGCTCCAATTATCTCCAATTGCAATTTATGGCAACACTGAGAACTCTACTTTTAAGCATTTGTTTCTCAAAGGCTGAAGAAGCTCTTGTAGCAGCTGAAGCAGTCGTCCGCACTAACCAACCCAGCCCGAATCATGGGTTGGAAACGTGTTGTGACATGTTTCGAGTCCACACGACGAGTCAAGGCTTGGTGGATGCTTTGAACACGATTGTTGGTTCATTGTCTGGGTCTGGGTCCGCGTCTCTTCTTCAAAGTCGGGCCTCTGCTGTGGACGACTCCGTGGCAGACAGTTGCGGCTACCTTGCAACTTATGCGGTTCCAGTGTTTGGAGAGGGCAATCTCCATGAGATGCTGACAGAGCTGCTCGTTTCACGACAGGATTTGCGAACCAGGGCCAAAGATAGACACGTTGGCATGTTTCATGATTGATTGCAACTTGACTTCGTTTGTTCTCAAAAACCGCTGTCGATCATTTTGGACAGATTGGCGGAGCGTCAACAGATACAAACGTGCGGGCACAGCTCCATAAGAAATTTGCTTAAAAAGAATGGGACAGATATACAAATACAAACTCTTTTGCTTTCAGATCTGTTTGTTTGTATCTCATTTCTGTCACATGTTCATTCCCTACATCCACGGAGTCTTTCGCCCTGAGGCTGCAAGTTGTTTGTGGCAACCCCAACGTGGCTGCAGCGTTGCCTGCCGCGGCAGAGCCCCAAGCTGCTGCTTTGATTGAAGGAGTGGAAGTGCTGGAGACTGGAACTACTTCCACAACCACACAAACAGCCAGTACTACAACTGGTGCTGCCACCACGACCACGACCACTGGCACGGCAGCTACCACAGCAGCCACAACACTAGCTACCACGGCAGCTACAACGGCAGCCACAACAGCAGCTACCACATCAGCCACAACAGCAGCCACCACAGCAGCCACCACGGCAGCTACCACAGCAGCCACAACGGCAGCCACAACGGCAGCCACAACGGCAGCTACAACGGCAGCCACGACAGCAAGCACTACGGCAGCCACGACCACAAACACGAGTGCCACCACCACTACAGCTGCTGACGGCGTTTGGAAGTTCAGCCCAGATCCAGGCGCCTCAAGTCTTACCACGCACGCCAGACTTCATGGGCCGTGACAGGTGTTGCACGAGGCGCAGAGGCCTAGATGCAAAAAGGAGATGTACCAGGCAACATCGGAACATGGTAGGTGTTTGCCCGGTTTGCAAGAAGGGCATTGCCCCTGTGGAAACACCAGCCTTTCTTTGCCGGTCAGGAACCTGCGATGATGTATGTGGAGTCGACAACTGCGATACCCAAAAGCAGGAGCAACTTCAAGGAGCAGAGCCTTGGTTTCGCTTAGGATGGTTTTCATTTTGCGCTGCGGGTGAACGTTTTCCTTGGGAACATGGTGCTTTGTTTCCGTGTCCTGAACAGCAAGTCCAAGGATTTGGTGGCCGTGTCTACAAGCTTGGGCTCGTCGTGCACTCTTGACCCGGGTGTTAACTGGGCAGCTGCCCCTATGTGGCGAGAGGGCACGTGCTTCCCTTATGGGGGAGCGGCGGGCAACACCGCATGTTCTGCCACATCCACATTCAATAAGGGCCGCCTCGATTTGCTCAAAAGGCTTGCGTGTTCGTGTTTCCCGTGCTTGCGAGTTTGCCAGAGAGTATTGGTCTTTATGGATCTTTTGACGAATTGTTCCGGGGACAGGCTGTTGGAACGATTTCAACGCTTTCTTCGCCCAGGAAAGCGCATTTGCTACTGCTTGGTCTCGACGACTACGGCAGCGACCACGTCCCCACCGAGTACCACGACCACGACCATCACATCGAGCACCGCGACAGGCACGTTTCCTACCACTGGATGGCAGCTGAGTGCTGCAGGCCTTCAAAACATGCTGAAACGTGGGAGGTGCTCTAGGCCACAAACCCACAGGTTACTAGTCAGTCTATTTTTCCTCTCTTATCAGTGTGCCCCACTTGTGTTCGTATCCTTTTATTGCATAATGTTTCGCCCGCCGTGCCGTCATCTCTGCTTGGAGGGGGCACCTGCGACGATGTGTGTGGAGTTGACCTTTGCGACAAGAATACCATGGCCAGAGTGAATGATGATGCCACAGTGGCATCAGTGTTGAGCAGTCTAGGAAAAACATGCTCGATAATTCTTGGGAGGAGCTATGCAGGGACTCCTTTCTTTAAAGCTCCAGAGCTTTGCGTCTACTACGATGGTGCAAGCCCAGCGGGGATCGATTGCTCAGACACCACAAATCCTGGCCATGAAGCCTTGTGCTACTGCAAAAGCTCCCTGATCCAGAGCGACGAAGACGAGTCAGACGAGCTCAATTATGTGGATGGGTTTCAATTGGTGCAAGTTACTGATGCGCCTTGGTCTTGAGATCTGGATGTAGCGGGGAGCTATACTCATACCATCACATGCCACTAAAGACATTGCGCCGGGAGGGAAGGTCCGGGAAGGTCAAGACGACCGGAGCTCCAAAGCTGTGAGAAGCCACGAAGCTGCGAGAAACCGACCGGAGCGGCGAAGCTCCCAAAGCTGCGAGGGCGAGAACTGTTTGCGAGTTTCCCTGGCGAGACATCTTTCAGGAGGTCCCCCTTCGCGAGACCCCCTTCTGCCCTTCTCCCAGGCCCTCTTCTGCGAGACTCCCTTTTGCGAGACCCCAGACCTCACTCTGCGAGATCCCTATCAAATTCAGCCAACTCTTGATGGGTCTTTTGGCTTGAGTTTCCACAGGCCTGCGCGACTGCCCTGTTCCAGAGCTAGATGAAGAAGCAGGAACTTTCATGTGAGTTCCTTGAAGGTAGCTTGGTCAAAGCAATGGGCCGCTTGGAGGACAGTTTTCCCCCATCGTCCTTCATCAAACTTTTCTGCCATGTCCAGTGCTGGCTCTTGATTTAGGGCTGTTTGGCCTCCTAACTTTGACTCTATCCTTGACATTCCAGGGTTCAATTCCTTTAATGTTCATTGCTATGCGCATCTGTCCCGTAGAAAGCTACGTTGCTATAGACTGGCGTTGCTGCTTTGCTGTGGTTCCTGGAAGCCGGTCTAACACAAACCACATGAGATTGCCAGAAAATTTGGCAGCAGTGCAACAACCCCCAAATCAAGAACATGCAGCCAATCGATTTAAAAGGTAGACAGGGAATTGCCTGGAGCTTTGAAATTTGCAGACATGTGCCTTGTTTGTGGTACATCATCAAGGCAGAACCTCCCTTTGCCTCCCCACTCTGCTGTCACAGTGGCATCCTTGATCAAGTGTAGCATTCCCAATCTCCTCGAATCTATTTGCTGAAGAAGGCCGCAGGCACCAGGCAATTTTTGGAGGTTATGCGCTCAAGTGACACTGCTGAGATGCTGGTGGGGCCATTGCAAAAGAAGCAGAGCTTTGAGTCAACAGCCACACCACCAACAAAAAGCTATATATAGTGAAAAAAACTCAGGTTGGAAGACACGCAAGGCCCTCCATCTGAGCAAGTGGCTGCCAGCCCCAAGCAGAAGCCAGAAGCTGAGGAAAGTGAGGCTGAAGAACAGCCCTGTCCACTGCACATCGGTAGCAGCAGGCTCCGCCACGACTTATTCACACGAAAGTGCAAGCAACGGAGTTCGATTCCCTTTGAAAAAACACTGCCCCGGCTCCAAAGGAATGCTTCGAATGCGAGTGAACCGCGCGAAAGCGTGCAATGCAAGCGGCCTATTGTCCTTGAGCCTTTTAGGCGCCAGTGACGTACATGTATGAGAGCTGACAGGCGTGAGGGAGGGTTGGGGTTTGGGGCCTCTTCTGGGAGACGACCTTCTGCGAGACTTCGTTCGCGAGGCTGCAAGACTCCCCTGCGGGTCCCGTTTCACGATACACCTAGAGCCCCGCATCGACACAGCACCACCAGCCCCCTTGCAGCACAGCACCATTTGTACCCCCAACCTCTGACCAAAAGTTTGTTGTTATGGCATCCCTTCCAGGATCAAACACCTAGGGTGTCAAAACCAGTGCTGATTTGTACTTTGTACAGGTGTTTTTCCCCAAACAGTTTACTGTCGGGGTTCTATCTTAGAAAGAAAAGCGCTGGCCACACTCACTGGCCGCGCTCCTGAACTTTGTGGTTGGGCTCTGTGGCTGGGCCTTGTCCTCCTCTTGGCCGCGCCCCTGAACTCTGTCAACTCTGTGGCTGGGCTCTGTGTCCAGGCCTTGTCCTCCTCTTGTCCTCCTCTTGGCCGCGCCCTTGAACTCCGTCAACTCTGTGGCTGGGCTCTGTGGCTGGGCCTTGTCCTCCTCTTGGCCGCGCCCCTGGCACGGACATTCCGGCAATGCTCGAACACTGCAATCAAGGCATCAACTGTCGAACATCTGGGTAGATAGCCTGACAAGGGGGCCTGACACAGACTGGGCAGGACATGTGGACGTACCTGCGCCTGGAGCACACACTTGCCCAGGATGTCCGTGAGAGCGATTGGCCTCACACCTTTGGGTGTTCGAACAGCTCGCTTAGCAATCAGGGTGAGCCAACCCGCCTGCCACTGTGGTGGGATGGAGACGACCACATGGCACCACTTGCGAGTCAAAAGCGCATGACAGACTTGGGCAAGTTCAGTGGCCAGGGAACAGACCACCGCCGGTTGCAGTGAGCCCGGAGCAACAGCTTTGGTCAGATTGACCTGGTCAAATTGTCTGCGCAGATCTTCGACAGTGAATGGCAGTTCTGTTAGTCGAAAGCAGGGGCCTGGCGGCTGAGGAGCTGGCCCACAGTAGACGGCCGCACAATCGAATGTCTTCCAGCTCAGCCTCAGGGCTTTGTGCAAGGCCCGTGTTTGAACGAAGACGAATTTGCTGGGCTGGCTGCTTAGGGCTTATAATGTACGAACAATGGAGTGCAACTGGGGCTGATCATGCGCCGCATCGGCCTGAGCAGCGGACTGCATCTGGGCTTGGAACTTATCCTTCTTCTGTTGACGAGCATGTTTCGTCAGAGCCTGATGCAGGCGGCCATGTTGTGTGGCATGGAACCAGGCATGGAAACTCGTACGTAGATCCGAGACCACCACAGACGATAGTGGTGCCACATGGTGGCGGCATACCTACAGCTTTGCAAGAGGATGCATCCAATCCGGCAAATTATGGGAGGGACTATATGTTGGGCATGCCAGTACTCCTTGGACCGACTGCTGAGATACTCAAGACTCGACCAGCGAGGTGCATGTGGAGCAAGCCATGTGCGGGCCTGTGGGACGAACGTTTCCCACACGTCATCATGGGCTCGGCAGTGTTGCTGCAGGACCTGCCGCATCGACCAGGACCAACGGTCATTTGGGGACAGCTGGGACCTGGAGTGCCACACCTTCCAGTAGAGGGGGAGGCTGCTCAGGTCTCGTAGTAGGGCTCTCCAGCCTGCAACTGGGAAGTCTACTAGAACCCGACTCTGTTGGACCTGGGCATCCTGTTGACATCTTCTCATGAGCACATGGTCTATGGAGGACTTCCACCCATCTCCTCTGCCCCCAGCCGTGGGACTGGAGGAACCCTCAGCTGATAGCCAAGAAGCTGGTGCTGATCCTCAGGGGCTCACTCCCGGACTTGGGGCCGGGTTGCACAGTCGAACTCCTTCTCGAGGTTGATCCGGATGTAAGTGCGAGCCAGCCGCCCCATGCACCGCGCAGCAGCAGCCAAGTGCAAGCCAAGAGAGGAAGCAGCCGCCAAGCCATGGACCGGTCAGGACGGTGCCCCGCTCATGGGGGGCCGGCCACAGAGCCGACTTGAGCAAAGACAAGAGGAGGACAAGGCCCAGCCACAGAGCCCAGCCACAGAGTTGACAGAGTTCAGGGGCGCGGCCAAGAGGAGGACAAGAGGAGGACAAGGCCCAGCCACAGAGCCCAGCCACAGAGTTGACAGAGTTCAGGGGCGCGGCCAAGAGGAGGACAAGGCCTGGACACAGAGCCCAGCCACAGAGTTGACAGAGTTCAGGTGGCAGAGTGCTGTCATGAGCATTTGGCAGCGACGGGCGGGTGCGGCACCACTCACGGTGGGCGGAGGGCTCTGTCTGAGGTTATAGACCTGTCCGAAGCCTTTGATCGTATGCCGAGGGAACGGCTAGGACCTGGATTATCTCGTGCCAACTGTCCTGAGGATCTGCAGAATCCTTTACTAGCATGGTTGAATGGTGCCGTCAATCACATTTCACACCGGGGGCAACAGTGCACCCTTGTCCCTACTAATAGGGGGACCCGGCAGGGTTTTGTTGCTTCTCCGCTCCAGTGGAATGCATGCTTGCTTGACATTTTGCACCAGTTTCTTGCTTGCATTGACCGGCCACTGGAGTGGCTTCGTGAGCACCTCATATCATACGCCGATGACTTGGTAGTAAAATGGGCGTTTGCACACCTTGCCTTGCAGATCTTCCACAAGCAGTCCAGGAACTCGGCCAATTGTTGGACACCCTGGAGGCCAATCAACTTGTAGTGAACTTGCGTAAAACTCCAGTGTTTCTTCGGTTGACCGGGTGCAAGGTGACGGGGCTGTTGAAGAAATGGACCAAGCAAATCAAGGGCAACCAAGTATCTGGTTGTACCCAGACAGCAGGGCGCCAGCTTGATCCCCTGGGTGAGTCAGCACACCTACTTGGGCGCCCAGATCAGCTATGGCCCATTCGAAATGCAAACATGGAAGCACCGCATCCATGTAGGGCGCATCACTTACTCCCGTCTTAGATCATCTTTCCAAAGGCGTCACGCCTTTAGCCTATGGAGCAGGGTTCGCCTGTGGACCTGCTGTGTCCGAGCCTCGTGTACGGTCTTGCAGCCTGTGGTCTCACCCCGAAGGGGCTCACTGTGCTGGAAACAACATGCACCATGGACCTTCGTCGAATTGCACGGTCAGCGTCCCATATCACCAGAGAATCGACTGAGCGTCTTCGAGCACGACTCGAGCCCAGCCCTTCCTTAGCCCCATTGCCAGGGTCGTGACCACCGGCAGACCAATGCATGCAACACCAACAGACTCCACTCCTGCCACGTCGCCAGCCAACTGGCCATAGTATCCTACCTGGATCACCACCAGCAACAGGGAAGTGACGTGGTTGGCGAGCTCACAGCCCCACCCAGACCGCCCCAACGTCCCTTGGCCCAGGCTGCCCGGAGGGCGCCAGAGGGCTCCCACCTTCCAACCGGCCCGTGACTCAGCCAATGGCACTACGCAGTGTGCCGCTCCACCTTCAACAACTTCTACGGGTTGAGAACGCACGGAATCCAATGCCTGCAAACGGTTTGACTCCACCAGGGGAGCGGGTGACCATGTTCCCCAGCACTGGCCATGGGTCCAGGCTATGTGTGCAGCAGGCACTCCCTCCCAGTGGCTCTTGGACCCCCGTCTACGTGAAGCATTACAACAACGATGTGGCCTTTGTGGGCGCCGCGTGCAAAAACACCACTGGCATTGCCAATGATCATGCTGAAACCATGCAGGCAGCCTCTGATTGGATCCAACGGGCCCAGGATCCAGGCCCAGAGGACCGGTGCCTCGCTCGTCCAAGTCTGGGCACAAGTCTCCGGTGTTGCTGCAGGCTGGAGTTCTTGGTCATCTCTTCCAACCCCTGCAACGGCCGCAGGTCCCGGTGGCCCACCATCCAGTGGATACAGCAGTGGTCCAATCTATGTATGAACAAGCAATGAGCCCGGACCTGGGGTGCTGCCGATGGTGTCTCAGGGCTCAAGACGTCCCAGAGTGGTGCTCAATCTCGCCCACTATGTCGGGACTCGAACATGGGGACTACATGGACGAGTCCGACTGCATGGATCAGGTGAAGGATGCAGTGGGGGTCCTGCTAGCTCAGCCACCCCTGAAACGACCCAAACCGGAGTCGGACCCAGAGGACAGACCCGGCCTTCAATTGAAGGGCAAGGGCAGGGGGAAAGGAAGAGGCAAAAACAGGGATCCAGAGCACCCACTCCAGCCAACAACAACAGCTGGCAGCCCTGCAACCTCCTGTCTCTCACCTTGAGGCACGAATCACAATTGCAGGCGCTGGCCAGCACCGACCAATTTCTGCTCTTTTTGCCAGCAGGTCCCACTTCCCTGCTCCCCAACATCCTCCAGCAAACCCAGCAGTGCAGTGGAAGGATCAACAGACCAAGAGCCCACAGACCCAACCCCTGCGCGTGGTACTGGGCCAGGAAATCCTAGACCGGTTGACCAAACTCAAGACCAAGGGAGCACAAGACCCGATATTCCTAGCCGTTTGCAATGAGATCCGACTCAGAAGAAGCTTATATATGATCCTGTCCAACAAGACCCCTATCAAGGCGGAACAGATACAGAAAGCGCTGGAGGACTCCTGGAGCTGATGCGGAGCCCGACCTGTCTACTCAGGTTCAAGAGCCTCCAACAGCCCAACATGAACCTCAACAAGAAGATTTCGACACCTGACCTGGCTGAGCCACAACTCAGTGGATGCTCATCGAGGCCCGCCTGCGCCAACACATGGTCCGGCCCAACCAAGTGGTGACACAGCTCCACAAGCACCAGGGACGCAATGGCCGCTCTTCGTAGACCAGGGCCTTGCCACTGTCATGGCCTGGAGGCTGGTGAATCAGGCACTGTGGTTGCCTTCTTTTGGAATCAGCTTCAGTGCCGCGGCATTCAGTGGCAGGATATCAACAGGGGAACCCAGAAGGCCCAGTCCTTGTGCAGCCGGGCGACTAGCACCCTGGACCTTCTCAATGATGAGGCCACTTGCGCCCTGCTCCCGAACTGGAACAGTGCCGGCCAGCAGGAACTCCTTTCCTTCGCTGGCCACTTCTTGGGGTGGTGTCAGCCATACTTTGTGGACAACACCTGAGAACGCAGTTTGTGCCTTGGTACTAAAGTGAATGTTCCAGTAGCAGAACCGACCCGTGGCCATTTTGGCTACAAGCTCACCCGTTCAGCCCTCCTGCCCCAGTCCTGTTTTTCAGCGGGGAGATGGAGGGAGGGACGGACCCAAGAGGCCGCCAAGCCAAGAGGACTATCCGTGACGCTGAGCTTAGCACCTGTTCCCGAGAGAAGCTTGGGAAGACGTCCGGCGTCATGGTTGTCGGGGCTTGGGGAGCTAGGGTCGAGATAGCTCGCATGTTAGAGCGGGGGGTTCCGAGTACAAAGATACTCGAGATGATCCGTGAAGGTGAGGAAGGGGAGGTCCCTTTGAACACCACCGATACGCTGGAGCCCATGATCAGCCCTTCCAGATTGCAGGAAGGAGAGCCTATGGTCAGTCGCAGAAGGATTTTAGAGAACCTTCGACTCACGCCCCAGAAAGGCGCGCTTAGAGCGCGCTCTGCAGAGAGAAAGACAAAGAAAGAGAAACTTAAAGAGAAAGAGAGAGAGAGAGAGAGAGAGACAGCAGGGCGAGCCTGCGCGCGCTCATGTGCTTTGGATGGCGCGCTCTGGCGCGCTCTGAAATACGCTTCAGAAAGGTGCGCTCACAGCGCGCACTGCAGAGAAAGAGAAACTTAAAGAGAAAGAGAGAGATAGAGAGAGAGAGAGAGAGAACGGCGCGCTCACGCTCCAGAAAGGCGCACTCAGAGCGCGCTGTGCAGAGAGAAAGACAGAGAAAGAAACACTTAAAGAATGAGCGGGAGAGAGAGAGAGAGAGAGAGAGAGAGAGAGAAAGAGAGCAGGGTGAGCGAGCGCGCTCGTGTGCTATGGACGGCTTACTGGGCTCTTGTCCTCCTCTTGTCCTCTGTGCGGGGCCTTGTCCTCCTCTTGTCCTTGTCTTGGCCGGGCCACTCTGTGGCTGGGCTCTGTGTCCGGGTCTTGTCCTCCTCTTGTCCTTGTCTTGGCCGCGCCCTGAACTCTGTGGCTGGTCTCTGTGGCCCGGCTTACTGGAGAGGAGTGTGGCCGAACAAATAGCGATGTCAATGCCGACAAAAATTCATTGATGAAGCAGTTCGCTCTTGGGGTGAAAGTAGGGCGTGCCAAGAAATCGATTTTTGACTTATATTATTCGAAACGAATCGTTTTGAAGCTGTTTGGGGTTTACGCTTGTATAATTTGTTTAATCAGACTCTGGGGGGTTTGAATTCGAGGGTGCGCTGAGAGTGGGTGCCATAAATTTGAAAGGTGGGGTGCAAGAACTTGTAAAGCTAAAATGCCTGCACATTGGTGCCTAGGGGTCTTGGATTTTGTAACAAACTACTCTGTTCTCGATATGGCTGAGTGATTGATCATGTAAAGATTTAGGAACAGTTTTCTCTACCACAAGGCTGGGGGCCTTGAATTTGTCATTCAAGGATCAGGCCCCCCACGAATAAGCCCGTTCATCTATGTTTTTGCTCACCCTTGCTTGAATGGCGCCAACGTTGCCAAAGGACAGCGTGAGCATGGATGCCACAGTCTTCTCCAAGATTGTCAAATTTGGGTCCAACATCTATCGATTTGGTGGATGTCTTGGGGGCGCCAAGAGGGGAGTCGCCACTGACCGGGTGTACTGGGGAGAAGTGAACCTTGGCAACCCCACTGTTCGTTGGAGGGAGCAGGATCCTTCACCCCGTCGTCTCACAGCGCACTCCGCGGTGGTTGCTGGCCCAGATCACGTTTTGGTGCTTGGCGGTATGAGCGCCTGCCTTGGCGACTCTGCCGCCTACCGGAACAACCTGTGGCAGTGGAACAGGACAGATGGGGGCTGGCTTGAATTGACTCCCATTCCAGAGGCTTGCGGGCTCGCGTTCCACACAGCAAACATTGACGAAAATTTGATGGTCGTCTTTGGTGGTCATCGTGGAACATGTGGGACGACGCCAAGAGTTTCGAGAAATCTGTGGTGGTTCAACGTTCAGACATCTACCTGGACTAAGAGACTGGGCGAGAAGGTGCTGTTTTGGCAGCAGCAGCTAGTTAGTGACATGTGCTTAAAGGATCTTGACGCGGTTTTTGTGGATGGACTGTTTGGACGGAGAGCTGCTAAGGAAGACAACAGACGGTGATCGCTACGGTGTTTGGGGCCATGCAAGCACCACGGCGACTTACCGGTTCAACGCATTTCCCTTCAACGGAATTTTCTTCCATGGCGGCCAATTGGAAGATGGATCCGTCGATAACACTTTGCGTTTTCTTTATGGTGCTTGGCCGCACTTGGTTGTTTGGGGATTGTGGGTTTTTGTAAAGCGTCCCCAAGCTAATAAGCCGAACGCACCAAGATAGTCAATATAGTGATCTGAACGCGCGTGCCTATAGATGGATCAGAAGAATTGCGGAGGTGCACGACACAGCGATCAAGATTACACGTCGAAACTCTTAAGCCGGGCATGTCTGCCGTTGAAAGGTTGTTTCTTCCGGGGAGCGCTTGTAGGTCTCGGGCACAGAAGTTTGGTTGATTTCGTTCTGGGTGATGACAGTGTTCCTGTGATAGTCTGGTTCGCTGACCGCCTCCCTTCCTGTGGCCATGAATGGAGACAAGTTCGATTGTACCCCCAAGACTTCGATGACATCGGTGTTGCAATAAAGCGAGCCTGGGAGGATAAATGTCAGGATCAGAAGTGTCACTTTGCACTCATTCGACCGCAGCCTTCGCACCTTTTTGCTGTGAATGCGCAACTCTACGCCCTTGTCTTTCGTCCTTTAGTGTCCTTACCTTCTTTTAAAGCTGTCCTCGTTGTTAGTAGTCGAGGAAGACTGCAGCAAGAACAGAGAGCGGTTCAGTACGAAAGTCGGGCTTGTCTGATTGAGAGCCAGATCCGAGATCTTCGACTACGTCTGTGGACTGAGGTTGATGAATTCGCTTCTGTAGAATTGATTGCTGGTATGATGCCCCAAAAAGGATCCTTCTATAGTAATGGTGATCTTGTTGAGGTGCAGATCAGGCCGCTGGCCCCTGTTTCTGAAGATGATTCGTCCTCCTTTATGCAAGCGGCTGGTTGGTTACACGATCCGATCTTCGAGTATGTCAGACTGACCGTACCGCATCCAGTACAGATAGTAGTCTGGTTCCATCCTACTGATGAGATCAGATTTGCCTGTCGGAGATATGTTACTTTCGCCCCTAGGCTCTTTGAGCCGATCCAGCCACAAATCAGAGGTGTCTGGTCTCATGTTTACGGTCGTAGAGCTAGCTTCCTTTTTCCAGTCAGGCCTGCGCCAATGTCTGCAATAGTGTGACCACTGTTAAGGGTGATCGTTACATTCCTATGCTTGTGCAGTATGTGTCTGACCACGATCGTTTCCGGGCCACTATCATCCTGCAGACGACTGGTTTCCCGACTGTGGAGGCGATCTTCCAGCAGGTCATGCCTACAAATCAATGTGTGTGGCAGAATGAATGCACGTTGGATGTCCCGGCCATCACCGGTGAGGTCACCTATTCTTTCGAGCAAAGGGTACCTGTCTATGAGGGGATTTTTGTTCTCCTAACTGAATTTAGCCGTGACACCGAGGGCACCTGTGATAGTTTTGCTGATTCGTCGATGCAGTCTGACCGGACATCTATCACAAGTCAGGGTCCGGAATATGAGTCAGATGAATTGCATGGTTCTGCACGCACTCTGGATGTTGAGTCGGATGCGCACAGTTTTATGCAGCTTGATCTTGATTCCCCAACGGCACTTCGTGACCTACACATGTATGTTGCTGAAAGTGGAGGTTTGGACGGAATAGATGAAGCTGCGTCGCATTAAAGTGCTGATGTGGCCCGTCAGTACCTATATTCGCGCTATCCAATTGCTGAGGATGCTGTCTCATCCATACACATTTGGGCGGTGAGAGGAGGCTGTGCTCACTTTGCGCGAATTGCGATTCTTCAGCCAACATTTTCCCTGTCAACTTCTATAGTGAGGACACTGGCCGATTTGACCGGAGCTGAAGAGTTCGGGATTTCTATGGTATTTCCCAGGATGATGCCCCTGACTTTGAGGATGCATCCAATTGATTTTGTGGTTTTGACTGCTGCACAAGAGCGATGAGGGCAAAAGGTGCTGATGATTGATGTTATTTTTGCTCAGTCAGTGCCTACGAGAGCTGCTGTCCTATGTGAAGATCTGTCCTATGTGAAGATCTGATCACAGGCCAACAGATTGTTGACTTAGTTGGTGCTGGTAGGGATTGTAGAATTTTCATGATGGAGGCAGAGTCGAGTCCTCTCTATTGGCAGTTAGAACAGATCATCAACGTGCCGCACGCCTCATATTTGAGGCTTTATATCGAATTACCTGCCGACTCATGTGAGCTGCCGAGGGGGACGAGTGATACACGAATGAGTCCCCTGATAGGAGCTAACACTGCAACTCCTAGCTTCCAGCGGGAAGAGGGACGCACTGCAAGCACCCTTGGACGACAGCCCGAAGGTCGTATTGAGCAGGAAGATGTTGTAGGGCTGATGCAGTTCTCCCATGGTCCTGTCCGCTCAAGGCTGCACAACTATCTCCTGGATTTCTCCCTTGGGAGACTTGAAGTAAATTTGTGGATACATCAAACAGCCAGCCGATCAGATGGTACAACCCCATCCAACTCCCTGCGAGGTTGATCTGCATAGAGGCTCTCCACCAATGCCGACATCTATGGCTGGAATTGCCAGGAGAGCTGAGGCAAATTGTCCTCGTCGAGCCAGCTCCCATCTTTATGGTTCTGCCGCGCCCGCATGTGCTGGTGCATTATGCACCAGCTGATAGACATGTGGCGACTTTGTGCCATGTGATGGTGGACGGAAGATACAATACTATGTCTATCCTTGTTCCTATGAGCTCATCGACGGTTGATGTGGCATCAATTTTTGGCGATCCTCAGAAGGGCTGTGGGAGAGATGCTGACTGCTACCTCATCCAACGGGGTCGGCAGTTCAATTATGAACCGGATTTGGCAATTGTGAACGGAGATTTTCTTCGTCTTTTTGAGTGGATGAGGCAAGATGATGAGAGCGCGGTCTGTCCATATCCTAGCTTGTCGGGCAGCGATGCTTCTGGCGATGCACTCACAGTGCTGAGTTCGGAGCCTGCGCGAGGATGATGAAGCTGCTCTTTCTGACGGTTTTTCCTATTTCAGATGGATATGCTATATCAGGGGCAAGAGCAGGAAGAAACTGATATTCAAGAGATTGCTGGCGTCCTGCTACGTAGACAGACGGAATGGCGTATCCAAGCCAATCAAGTCTATAGACGAACGCATCTGGCAAATTTTGAAGTCTTGGTTTCAGAGTTAGAGACAGCGCAAGGGACTCAACATCATTACTTACCGATCCGATTCTATAGTGCAGATTATGCTCTGAGTGCTACTACGCTTCGAATTGAACGAGCTTTCAGCCTGGACAAGCTTGCGCTTGTGTTTCGCATGCGAATGTTTCTCCAGGATGTGTACATGCTCCACGAACATGTGAAATTGTCTGTGGTGAAGCCGATCCCCACTCCCTACCACCAAAGTGGGTTAGATGCCATATATGTGTCTTGACTGAACTTTGGACTGACGATATTTCCCGGCTCGCAATGGTTGTGGCTGTTGGCATACGAGCTGACATCGCTCCAGTGCTCAAGGGCTATCGTTTCCCAATTCGCCTGACCACACAAGACCTGCTGAGACGGATAAGTCTGAATGATTTTTGCCTTTCGGACCAATTTCGATGCCAAGTAAGCTATGATGGTGGGTGATTGAAGGCAGGCGAATCGACCTACAAGTAGTCGAGTCAACATGTGCTTGTTGATCAAACAAGATTCTTTCCTTGGCAATCCCTCTTGGATGATCTGCCGCGCATTGTTTTTGCTGAGCGAAATCCTCAATCTGAAGACCTCAATGAGGACGCATGGTCGCTGATGCAGCGTGAAGGAGGGAACACTGCAACTCCTGCTGCGGAGACGCTACAGGCTGCCTTGGAGTCAGGATTTGGCAGGATCTCGACCCAGAACTTTCAGCGTGCCTGTTGGTTGAGGACATTCTGGCAGCCACCGCTAGTCTTGTCTCAAGGCCTCGTTGAAACGGCATGGTCAACTCACGGGCACGATATAGCCCGCAGCCATTTTCAAAGGCAGGGTTTTGCAACGACTCACTTCCGTCTGCGAGGCTGGTTTTTTCATCGGCCAAACCAAGAGTTTGGGAGTCCATTCTGCTGGGGACTACAAGGTGAGTCTCCGCGGTCACTGCAACTGCTACATCTTGTGCGAGGCACTGGACTAGTAGAATCGGCGCTTTTCACCATATTGCCTCAGCAACTTGATTCTCCGCTACCAGCCTCCCCTCAAGAGGCTGAAGTTGTTCTGATGGCAGGAGGCTTCTTTCAAGAGCCTTCGCTTGTTTTGGTGGTTGGCATGTCCTTTGCTCGAGCAGCGGGGTTTCGAGCGGTTAGGGGATACCGTGCACACCTTTGACCCTGTTTTACCAACTAGGCCAAATAGCTTTCTGTGGACTGTGGACCCTTTGCCGAGTTCTCTTTAAGCATGGTGCCTGTACAAAGACCTTTACCGATACTGAAATGATCTTGTTGCCAATTGCTTCCAAGGTTGAGCTCGACTTTCGGCCAAGTTCAATCAAAGCTGAGCATTGTGAGCAGGTCCGCAGCGATGAGAGGTTCCCGCATGCACAGCAGATACCTCACCGAAACCCTTATGTTCATGGGGTTGCTGATGACAGTACGGAGACCCAGATTGAGAACGATCGTTCTGATTTTATGCAGCGCAGTCTTGATGCTCGGCCAAGTCTGGTCGGCAATGGGCGCCGACAGCTTCAAGACGATATTGAGTCCATCCGAGTCAGGACCAAACCACCAGTAGAAGCTTGTCCAATGCAAGGGGTTAGTTTCCATTTCGTCCTGGCTGTCGAAGGGGCCACCAGACATTGGGTCGAAACCTGCCCTCCGATTGATCATGCTCTGCCGAGCCGCAGAGTCCTTCTGGCCTCGAGGAGAGTGATGCCGACAGCTTGGACTGTCCTGATCCCTCAAGTGCCTATGAGCAGACCAATCCCGATGCTAGTGAACCTCCTGTTGGCAGGAGGATATCACCCCACCCTGCATATGCTCCAGGTTGATGGGGTACAGACGCCCAGAGGGCTGTTTGGCATGATTGTTGGGACAGAAAAGGCCGAACGAGCTATCCTTGCGGCCCAAATTCATGACGTAATCAGATGTAGATCGATATACCAACA